GACCCAGGCGGACGGACGAGTCCGAGGCGTCGGGCGAGTGCCTCTGCCTCGGCGATGCGAGCCAGGAGGAGGAGGGACCAGAGGAGGGCCTGTCGCCCCGGGAACTCCGGGAGGTCTTGGCGGACCGGTAGATGGCGATGGAGAGAAAGGCGCCTGCCTTTGGTTGCCCAGAAAATCCAGACACGGCACAAAATTTGAACCGATCTCACCCAGTTCACGTTTAATGCTTAGACGGGACTTGAACTTTTTTTCTTAAATGCCCAGAATAAGAGACGGTAGACGCATGAATCTGGTAGCAAAAAAACAATATGCATTCTTTATTGCGGCGACAAAAATATAGATCATGACTTTCCTCTACGCCCTCTTAATTAAGATGCATAATTAAGCCTGTCGAACTTTCCAGGTCGCGGTGCGCTTTCGAGGAGGATAAGGGATTTTAGCTTTTTTTTTTTGGTTCTTTTCCAAGGCCACAGTTCCAGCTTTCGTGGTTCAAAGCATCACGAACTTTATGGCAAAAAAATAAACCCGAATATTTGCCGTCGCATAGAGCAGTGACTGAGCCCCCCCCCCCCTTCGCCAAACTTCGATTTTTGGACTCGCCGACCTGAAACGACAAAATAAACGCCCGGCCTGCAAGACCTTGAGGCAGATAAACAACGCGGAAAGGGACGGCCGCAGGGCTCCATTGAATTTGTTGCCATGGGAACCAGACGACGCGAAGAAGTGCTCGGGACGAAAGCAGATAAATTTGGGTATGATGTGTGATATGAAGGGCTGAAAGGCAGAGTGGTCTATCTGCAGAAAAATTCCAAAAATTCCTTTCATTTAAGGAAGTAGTTGAAAGCTTGAAAGGAAAAGTGGTCTATCTGCAAGAAACAGTATCCAAAGATACTGAAGGAGAAAATGAAGATTCTAGGGAACCTGGCTCTGTAAATTAAGAAGTGTTGCATGTAATGAATCTTTTTTTTCATTTTGCAGAAATCCTACAGGGTACTTTTCTTATGAGAAAGGTGGGGTGGTATCTTGGGGGAATATGGCCATTGAGGTTTCTTTAGACCTTCAAAACGAATCCCCTAACAGACTGAAGAATTAGTTTTGTGCGAATTTTAAAAGTAGTTATGTCGAAGAGCATATGCAATTGTCGAAATGTTTGGTCCCGTTTTTTAATCCGGTTCTCNTTAATTTGGAATATTTAATTCACAATTTTTTGACAGTGAATGGTGCAAAGAGCTTTTGGCTTGATGCTCTCTCTCACAAGGTGACAAATATTTACAATTATCCTATCAGATGCAAAGGTAATGTACAATAGTCCTATCTGCATTGAGATTCAAGATTAGTTGACTTCATGCTCCAAATGGTATAAGTCAGCTTTAAGTGAGGTAGGGTTAAGCATAATATACAAATTGATAGACTAACTCTTGATATAAGACATGTTGGCTTAGCCTTATATGCTGACCAGAGGGAATAGCTTCTCCATTAGAAGTAAGGCCTAATTTAAGTTGATGAGCACTGATGAAATTCAAAATTGAGCTTTGTTAGAACCATGACAATATAGATGAATACAGGACAGGATGATGAGTCTTGGCCAAGACCTGCATGTCCTGCAGAGAAGAATGTGGGAGTAAGGCAAAAGTACAGACATATCAGAAAAGAGATAGATGAAGAAGCCAGGAAGATCTTTCTGATTGAGAGTCAAATAAGTTCTACACAGAACACTGCAGATAATGATGCTGAAGAGAACAATTCATTCAGGCTCTGTCTGCATGAAACTAGGCCTGTAAACACACACATAGGTTCAAATCTGGTCCCCTTTGAAAGGGATGAGTTGAACAGGCATGAAGATGACAGTGAAAATAACTTTCCAGCTTGCTCTAGGAAATACGGAAGAACCTTTGTTGCAGGGCACAATGATGTAGGTTGTATTTCTGGCCCTGGGCCTACTTACCATTTTGCATCTATCGGTTTGGCTGTGTCAGCAGATGGGATTCAGGAGTCCAGGTTGATGGCTTTCTCTAAACAACATGAAGACAAACACACAAACTATTCTTCTCTAGATGATCACTTTTTATCTAGTAGTTCTGAAAATGAGCTAGATTTGGAAACCTCTTCTAGAAATGAAGATGGGCCTATGCTTAGTGACAGGGTAAGCCCCAGAGAGACATTAGCTGAGGCTCTACAAGCATGGGCTATCAAACACCAGGTAACTCATTCAGCACTATCTGATCTGCTGCACATTCTACACAACACCCACCCTGAACTTCCAAACGATTCCCGTAAGCTCCTGGGAACAAGATCATCTGGGGAGAATGTTAAAATCCGTGTTGTGCCACCTGGAGAATATTTTCATTTTGGAATTGCCAAGGGTTTGACTGGGAAGGTACAGCTTGGCATTTCTGAGCAAAGTCAGATTCTGCAGCATCTTCAATTAAATGTTGGCATTGATGGTTTGCCCATCTCTAAAAGCACAGGGAAGCAATTTTGGCCGATTCTTTGCAGCATTATAGATGCTGTTGATAACTCTCCCTTTCTGGTTGGATTATACTGTGGTCATACCAAGCCTGATTCTCCTGCATCATTCTTGGCTGACTTTATTGAAGATGCTGGAGTGCTCCTCCGATCAGGGCTTATGTACAAAGGCTCACATTTCACAGTCTCTTTGAATGCTTTCATATGTGATATGCCTGCCAGGTCTTTCATAAAGTGCTGCATAGGGCATAATGGATATTATGGTTGTGATAAGTGTACTCAGAAGGGAGCAGGGTATGGACGAGTTGTGTTCAGAGAGCTTCATTGTACCCTAAGAACTGATTGTGATTTTAATCAGGGCAAGTACAGACAACATCAGTTGGATAAGTCACCATTACAGGTTCTGCCCATAGGCATGGTCACACAATTTCCAATTGATTACATGCATTGTGTATGTCTTGGCGCTATGCGTAAGTTGCTGAGAGCATGGGTTTCTAGTCCCTGGAAATGCCTCAAACCTTCTGATATAAACAGAATATATGAAAGACTTAATTCTCTGAAGAATGAAGTACCAAAGGATTTTTGCAGAAAGCCACGGGCACTCAAAGAACTGGACAGGTGGAAAGCTACTGAATTCAGACAATTTTTGCTCTATACAGGTCCTGTTGTTCTACAGAATATCCTACCCTCTGAAAATTACAAGCACTTTCTGAAGCTACATGTTGCCATCAGAATCCTTCTGAATCTATCTGCTGGCAAGTCACACAGAGATATGGCTGGGAAATTGCTGGATGAATTTGTATCTCAGTGTATTACATTGTATGGTGATCAGTTCCTCTCTTACAATATTCATGTATTGACTCATCTAGCAGTAGAAAGCTCATATTTTGGATTTCTTGATAATGTGGGTGCTTTCCCTTTTGAATCGTTCGACGCGAAGAAGTGCTCGGGACGAAAGCAGATAAATGTGGGTATAATGTGTGATATGAAGGGCTGAAAGGCAGAGTGGTCTATCTGCAGAAAAATTCCGAAAATTCCTTTCATTCAAGGAAGTAGTTGAAAGCTTGAAAGGAAAAGTGGTCTATCTGCAAGAAACAGTATCCAAAGCTACTGAAGGAGAAAATGAAGATTCTAGGGAGCCTGGCTCTGTAAATTAAGAAGTGTTGCATGTAATGAATCTTTTTTTTTCATTTTTCAGAAATCCTACAGGGTACTTTTCTTATGAGAAAGGTGGGGTGGTATCTTGGGGGAATATGGCCATTGAGGTTATTTAGACCTTCAAAACGAATCCCCTAACAGACTGAAGAATTAGTTTTGTGCGAATTTTAAAAGTAGTTATGTCGAAGAGCATATGCAATTGTCGAAATGTTTAGACCTGTTTTTTAATCCGGTTCTCACAGGAATTTGGGATGCGTTGATATTTTGAAAGTCACATGCATGGCATTTCAAAACAAATACGATGCTTGAGCAACTTAAGCGTATATTTCCCAATAGCAGCATAGATACAGGAACCATTTCTTCAAAGTTATTATATGTTCCTTCCAGAATGCTTGTGGAAAGTGCTAGTCCCTCCATTTGCGGTTTGCAGGCAGTGTTGTCGACTTTGGCATGCCAGCCAATATGGGGTAATATGAACCTATCCTTGAATTCATGGTTACACCGCACTAACCTATTGGCAGTATCAGCTCCCTTACGAGTAGGACCTCAGGCAGCAAATAGCATCCTATGCACACCCTCTGGATATTTGGATAGACGTACTGGACATCCGGACGAAATATGCAGTGCATGAATAGGTGGTGATTGAGGAGGTGGTGCATGAGGAGGCGGTGCATGAGGAGGCGGTGCATGAGGAGGCAGTGCATGAGGCAGTGCATGAGGATATCCACATGCACCGCCTCATGGACATCCGCTTGACTTACTCCAGGAATTCTCGTGGCACAAAATTTGAATACGGGTAGATATTCCTCGTACAAAAAAAGTTAAAATGTCATCTTGCGATTTTTGGCACTATTTATGCATACATGCAAAAATATGCGACGTTTTTCCATTGATGTAAGTGATGTCTCAGTTCACACTCGTAGGTGCATGTTCACTTTGATCTACGGTTGATCATTACTCTTACACCTACAGTTATATTTTGGAAACTTTGTGAAGGTCAAATTCGACCTTGATGGTTTGCTAAGACCAGGTTTCATTTTTTTTAAGGACCATATTCCCCCAAATTGGTGGCCCTGCACATTTTTTTTTTCTTCAATTTTCTGTTGCCTTGAGGTACTTTTGCAGATGACCCTCTTTTTCTTTAAGCCCCTCAACAGGTGTGTCTTTCCATATGAGGCGGACTTTTGATCTACGAGGGGTGATCAAAGAAGTATTTTACAGCTAAAAATAAAGTTGTCGGGTAGCATCTGATGCCAGGGCCTTTTTCTCTCATCCGCATTGGTTCTCCAAGAGCATTTCAACTTCTGACTTCTAAAATTTTTCATCCAGCTAAGCTCCGTCAGATATGAATACACCTTTTCCACTGGCCAGTTTCTCAATGGAATTCAAAGATGAGGGGATGATCTCGTTTCGCTCACTGAATACTCGGACACCAATCAAAGGAGATCCCTCAGGATTTGGTCAGTGTTCATCACATTTCCTCCTTTGATATGGTTGCGAGCTGCATAAGAAATTACATAGTTTGAAAAGAAACTGCGATGATGAAGCTCCATCCTTACGTCCATAGACTTCTGTGAACAGAGCTACTATTGATGGCTGTTATGCCGTCATTTTCTACGATTCTAGCACTACTTGGATAATTTTATATGGTGAGCTTTGCATCAGTTGCGAAGACCTTGTCATTCAGAGGTTGAAGAATTTCAGGTGTGCGAGAAGATTCTCTCATCTCCCGACAATAGAAAAAAAAGAGGAAAAGTGTTCACGAGCTGATGACCTAAAGAGACACCCCGACGTCAAAGGAGACACATTTTAGATATTCTTCTTCACCGTGAAAAATATGTCCCATAAAAGGTCCAACGTGATCTGGCTTCCAAAAGATGAGCTTCGACCTCGAGTCTGGAAATCTCGTTTTCTAAGTCAGATGCACCACCTTCGATTCTCAACATTCACTGTTAAAATCATCCAAAAGTCTAGAATCACCACAGCTACTACATTCCGTAATCGAACAATTTTGGCGAAGGTCTTCAGAGAACTTGAGAAAACGGGACCAAAAAAACCGAGAACGCGACAGATGCTGCTTCACCACCCAACTCTCCTGGTTTGGCTAACTACGACTGCTGGCTCTTTCCTTAGCTTCAAGGATAGATTAACCAGCAAAGGCCGAACGAGCAGAGCTGCGCAGTGTCCCTGCTCTGGACGAGCGTGACGCCTTTTCGAAGCGTAGTGCCTTTGTAGTGCCTTCCTCGACGCTGAGAGAAAAAAAAATTCTATCGAACAGCATCAAGATGAATCATTTATTTATGGCTTTTAGGAATTCCATAATGAGTGCAAAAGTTTTCTCGACTCACTTTTCTGCCAAATCTATCATTTCTGTAATTCGTACATTTTTTAAATTCGATTATACTAATAATAATATGCATTGTCACGTAATTGAAATAAGTCATAAAACAAGTTCGTACGAACGGGACAGGTACGGCGGCAAGTAAATTTCCCGGTGGTTATAAGATGCATGCAGATATATAGAACATGAAATGGCATCATCTCTTTATGCAAGTTTTTTTAAGCGCCTCCCAGCCAGAATGAATTCTGGATGCAGAATCCCTCGTTTGAGATAAAATATTTAGGCAAAGAGGTTTGAGAAGGAAGCGGTAGAAATGAAAGCTAGAAGCCTTACTGTTTCCATATGAACTTTTTGGTCATTCCAAGCTGTTCGACCCAGAAAAAGATTCTACCCCAAGCCCATCTCCATGCATTCATGCAGCACAGCGGCGAGACCACTTTTAAATGCGAATATTCCATCATTTATGCATTATAGTGGAGAGGAGAAGTGGTCTATGTACATAGACCACTTTTCCTTTCCGAACCCGGAAAAACGACTTTTTCGCAAAACCACTTTGCCTTTCAGCCCTTCATACTGTATATAACTGTATGTACCAGCATCTTCTCTCAGGCTGTTCAGATCCGAACGAAAAATTTGCAACTTTGAATTCGGCTTTCCCTCGGCCGACTTCAGAGGGTCGAAGAAACCGTCGAAGGTCGGGGTCACGCGAAGGCGACGGTGAGACGACGAAGTCCTCGAGTCGTCTCAAACGTTCGGATTTGAAGGGGAAACGGAGGAGGGAATGGGGGTCGGGATTGGATTATTGGAATATCCGGATTGAAAAGGGGGATGACCTTCAAATACACGGGAGCCAGAACATCTCCTTGGTCCTTTCTTTCCTTTCAAAGCGAATCAAACCGTGGCGTGTGAAGAATGAATTAAAAAAAAAAAGGAGGGGGAATCGGTGGTTCGTGCCTCCAAGGCTTCTAGGCCGGCTCGCATTACGGGTTTCCATCCTTCGTCGGAGAGGCAAATCCGGCGTTAATCAAATTTCGCGGTAAGGATATTCGGGCGGACTTCGTCGATGATGCTGCACGAATTTTCTCTCTCTCTCTATTTTTTCTCTCTTCCCCTTTATTTTTTTTTTGCCCGATCGGCCCTCGCAGGCGGAATGGCATCAACGGTGAAGTACGCGACTTACGTCCTCCTCGTCCTCACGTTCGCCTCCGTCGGATGGAGCTGGTTCTTCGACTCCGTCTACCGGAAGGTCTACGAGCCCCAGCCGTACGACCAGCCCAAGCGGGGATTCAAGTCCAACGCGCTGGCCACGGCGCGAGGCTTCGGGAAGAGGGATCGACCCTACGTCTCGAGGTACGTCGAACCGTCGCGACTCCGAGCTTCTTCTCGATGCACGATCCCGCGACGATTCGTGATTTCCACGTACCGGCGTGCAGACGAGGCCGAATCGTCGAAAAGTACGGGTGGATGTGTCGAATGAAACGGGGAGCGATTTCGGTACGGTTCGAGAATTTCCATCCGCACGGTCCCGCGGCTATTGAGTCGATGGTGTGTGATTTATCCCCCAGCGAGGAAATCGACGGACCGGAGAAAGGGGGCGAGATGGCCAAACGGGGATTCCAGAGCTCCGAGCTCCAGACGGCCATCGGCTTCGGAAAGAGATTCCCGCGTCCGCGCGGGAATCCCGCTCGTCTCCGCACCCCGTTTTCCCGGCCGGATTCCCCCCCGCCGTCTGATTCCCTGACGTGGTCCGAAGACGCTCCGATCGGCTTCAGGTGAATCCGTGCGGCTCGTCCCACGACCGCGAAGGTGGATCCGTATCTCCGTTCGATTTCGTTCCCGTAAACGGAAGACGCTTCTTCTTTCCTTGGCTCCATTTTCGTCTGCGGCTGGTATCGAATAAATCACGCTGTAGTGGCTGGAATTCCATCGGCTTTCCTTCTCCTTCTTCGCTCCAAGACGACGTGCAACAATGGGTAAAATACGTGTCACGGATACACACTCCTTCCGCTTTCTTTAGGCTCCTTATTCTCGAGACGGGTCATGGCCAAGGACTCGGACGACCCTTCGACGCTGCCGGAACCCGCCTCGCCGCCCTGCAAAGCAGACGCGGTGCGCCTCGTGCTCCGACGGATACTGGAGAAGGGACCCAGGCGGACGGACGAGTCCGAGGCGTCGGGCGAGTGCCTCTGCCTCGGCGATGCGAGCCAGGAGGAGGAGGGACCAGAGGAGGGCCTGTCGCCCCGGGAACTCCGGGAGGTCTTGGCGGACCGAGACCCAGGCGGACGGACGAGTCCGAGGCGTCGGGCGAGTGCCTCTGCCTCGGCGATGCGAGCGAGGGGGAGGAGGGACCAGAGGAGGGCCTGTCGCCCCGGGAACTCCGGGAGGTCTTGGCGGACCGAGAGATCGACTTCTTCTTCAAGGTTCTGGGCGTGGATCTGAAGGAGGAGCTCCGGGCGAGGAGGCGTCGGGGTCCCGCGTCCCGCGTCTCTCTCGCGACCTCCGTCGAAAGGGCGAAGAAAAAGAAAGCCAAACCCCATCGAGACGGTGCCGCGGCGACGACCGCGACCCGACCGTCTGCGTCGGACGAATCTCTGCCCGCACCGGGGAGCAACGAGGATCCCAGAGGCACCGTGCCACCCGACGACAAACAGGAACCGGCGCAGAGATATGAAAAACGACAGGAATAGGACTCGACGACCACGCGGAGAATAAAGTAAAGCAATATTCATCCGAGAATGCCCTTTCTCACGACTGTTTTTTGTTGCCAACTTTCGAGTAATTGACAAATTAAATCTTTAACAAGAAACTAAGAGTATGAAGCAATGTGACAACCGATTTTCAAAAGTTTTCCATTCCTCAACCTGAACCTGAACCCCCACCCCTTCTGGGACGCAAACCCTCGGCGCGATGGGGCCCTTTTCTCAATAGAGAAGGGAGCCCGGTTATCGTAATATTTGCATGAGGATTATGCGAGGAATCGGATAAACGAAGATGCTGTCCGCTTTCCAGGAGCATCCAGAGACCACGTAGCGAGTAAAAAAACATGTTCAAATGCAGGATTGGGTTTTATTCTTCCCTCCAGATTGCGACTTTCCGTTTTCCCTACCCATTCAGTATCGTCCTTAGTCGAGAAGGTTGGAGGTGCCCGCTCCAAACGGAGTTTGCTTTATTGTACGCGATCTCATTCGAAGCTGTGATTTATAATTCCAGCGGGGGGAGAGGGGGGGGGGGGGGGACCGCTCCGTTCCGATCTTCGTTGGGGTGCGGTCTCCTTAATTCAGAGTTGTGGTGTTTTTTTTTTTTTAGCTATTAGAGCGAGAAACCATGAGAAAACTGCGGTCCTCTGGCGTGGTCGATACGTCAAGCTTTGTACGTGGCGGAGTCGACAGGCAGGGGATGGCGGCACTAACACAAAATGCAGTTATAGGATCATGATCATGAGTGATCAGGAAGAGTTCTTGTCAAGAGACCAAAAAGAAGGAAAGGCGGGAAGGGCGGAAGTAATAAAGAAAATAATTGAACGAACGGGAGACGAAAATCATGGACGATTCCCTGGTCCTTCCTCTACATCAGTCCACAACGACGTACGAACATTTCCCTGCCCCCCCTCTCGTTTACCCGAGAGGCTGCCTAGATATCGAGGGAAGTAGATAGCATGTATTTTCCCAACACCCTTGTTCCTATCAGATCTAAAGCCGAAGATCCACTCGGGCAGATCCGATTCCATGCGAATGTAGAATTGAGATTAGCTGCGCGGTCTCCTCTCTCAGGGTGGCTAATAGGGCTTGATTACAATGCGATAAATCGATAACACACTTCGGCATTTTTGAACGATTGACGGCCCTATTAGCAATTTACTTTTTAAGGTATTCTTAGAGTCATTAAGTTATGGCGTTTTTCGTGGAACTTAAAAATGCGGAACTCTACAACGTGGTACTTCCAGTGACAAGAACCAATTTAATCCCTTCAACTTTTCATCACTGCAGATAGGGCGCCTCTAGCGGGAGGAAGAATCACTCAACGTTTACTATTTACAATAAAAAGAAACGTGCTGTGCTGTTGTGTCTCGTTTAGGCACCCATGGTGCATCGCTGGCATCGTCCAATTGAATGCAAGTCATGGGGTGAAAGTAACTGGTATCCTTCCGCGCTATCTTCCGAGGGGGGGGGGGGGGGGAATTGCGTCCTTCGGAGACGACAGACGGGGAGGCACTCCCAAAGCTAGCGAGATTCGGCCCGCGACTTCTGCCGCTCGACCCTCCTCTTCAAGCACTAGGTTTTTATTCTCCCTTGGAACACGTTTAACTTACTTGCCAGGATATCATACCAAATAGACTGGCCACCACGGCAAATTTTGTCACTCAGCTATTCACAATTCAAATAATGAACTCTGTTTGTTACTCTCTTTCCCCTTCCCCTCACACCCACACTTCTAGGGATGGTGGGTGGTAAAAGATACCATTTACCCCCTCATCTTTCCCTTAAAATGAACATCTCTGTCAAGCGAATCAAATTCTGGCATGCAGATACGCTCAGCAATCACTCCTGTGGGGTATTTGAAACCATTCCCACCCCCCTTTTCCTTCTACTTCCCAGAGCGTTCCTATGCCTGCACAGTCATATCATGAAAAAAATAATCATGAGCACTCTCAACTTGGGCAGTCAAAGGGCACTGTGACAGAGAAGCACAAAAACTCTTTGCCTCAACTTGCTAGACAATCACATTAAATGCTTTTCCCTCCAGTGAACCCTCAATCCTCAAAACCCTCAACTATTTTCTAAGTTGTTTGTAATGTAACTAAGACCTATTGGTAACAATCATCAATGAGACAGAGATTCATACTTGATTTTCCTAGTATCTCTCTCAAAATTCTTCTTAATTCCAATCTGCTCCTTGGCAGCAGCATCAAGCTACAGGAGGAAAGAACACAGAGTGACATTATTCCATTAAAAAAATATATAAATAAAAACTTCACATGCTTTCGCCAGGGATGGTTCTCATGCTGAAGATATTTGACACAAAGCATTGGTACCAGACCAAGGACATTTATTTCAAGATCCTGATAAAATAAATACTTGTATAAAAATTCTTTTGAATTCTCTGGCAAAGCGTTCTTCTCCTGCAAGGGACTAGATGATAGGACATTAGGACTTTCAATTATCTTTCTTCACATCCTCTGTTTTGATTGCTAAGGCACACACTTGATTCCCTTTTAAACAAAATATCGACATACAAATGTAAGGCCTTGCCTGCATTGTCAACACAGGAAAACAAACGCTTGTACATTTTAATGGTGCATCCAGAGTGGGGCTATTACACCAGTTTCCATTACAACACATCATTATTATTAATATTATTCATTATTATATTTGGGCTGGGTCATATTGACATATACCTTTCTTTTAGGGATGCCAGTAATATATTGCAATGAAAATTGAAATAAACCTAATGTAAATCTGTTAATTGATTTTACTACTGCAAATGAAAAAAATCTCCATGAAAATGCTACAGAAAATGCATTACTAGTTTTTGTTATAAAGCAATATATATATACTTAAAAAATTAATATAGAACTGCAATAGCCCCAGTCTATATGTACCATAACTCTTCAAGTCGTGGGCATAATAAAAAGCATAATTCATCACAAAATAAAAATCTTAATGACAAGTTGCTCACCTGGAGTGGGGATTGAATGGAATTAAACCAAGGCAAGTCACCAGTGAATAGCAGCACAAAGACTCAAAGCTAGGTAGAACTACAAAGGCAAGAAATACACAGGGCAATGCTGCAAAAATGAATGATTTGAGTTACTCAGCAGGCATTTTGGAATTGAGCACAGAGTACAACATCGCAGGTGATCACTGATCTTGTGCCAGTCAATGGTTTACTCCTAGAATAGACCCAATTTCTTCTTCAGCTTGATCTGCTTCCATGGTGGTTCTTGATAGAACTCTTCCATTTTCATACCGAACAATTCCTGGAATAAGAATTTAAAAATATATATTAAAATATACATAAGAGATAAATTAATAACAGAGAAGTGCTTTCAAATTGCAAGGAAAAAGAACTCTCTTTAACCTTGAAGTCTTGACCACTCAAGAATGCCTCTAGTCGAGTTGCTTCGACTCCATCTGGCAATGGACGCTGTTTAAGAACATCAAGACTATAAGTTGTTGTGATGATTTGAGACAGAAGTTCAGCAACAGAAGACTTCTTCCCCTGGAAAAAAAAAGAGAAACTTTGCTTAACTTTGCTCTTAACGTTGCAAAATTCCCTGAGTGTCCCAAACAGATCAAGAAGAATGCTATGAAGTGGTTCTCAGCACAGTTCTTCCTCATCAACCTGCCAGTTCCAGGAATTACAGATGAATCTGTTGTTGGAACAAAGACTGCAGAATAATGGATATTCATGTTGATCTGAAAGATTTAGAAAGGTGATTCATGGTCATTATTAGGCCATTCCAACAATGACTCCCAAGTATAGGTATATATTCTTTCAAGGATAATATCTTTTACCCCTTCACCTACCATGATAAAAGCACATAAAAATGTGCTTTAGACTTGAGTAAATATGGTAATAGTGGAATTGCTTAGTGCTTGCATAAATATACTAAGCAATCCTGCTTGCATAAGAATTCAGGGCTTGTCCTTTGCCAGTTTTATTCATAAATTTATAGTAAATTCTATATAAATATTGTTTATAGTACTTATGTAGATTTATAGTAAGAGAAGTCAACTCTCCAACTTCAGGATGCCAAGCAATTGTGAAAATAGCAGGTCCAATAGAGGAAAAGAGAAAAATTAATGTAAGTAATTATCAGTTATGATGAAATTGATTCCACATTCTTGAAATACTTCCTATGATTTGCATGGTACAGAAAAACTCCTAACCCGGGTGTTCTCAGGCAGGACCCAATCGGGGAAAAGATTGACGAATTCAAGAGGTTCTTCTCCTGCCATGACCAAGTGAGCAGGTGGTGGGTTGGAGGGGTTCTTTTCCCTGGAGTAATTGAGTGCTGTTTCTAATGCACACTTCTTGCTCTGCTCCCAACGAGATTGCCTGCTTTCTTGTGTGGAGCAAGTTTCTTCCAATGCTTCCCCTTGCCAGAGCCATACATCATACTCATTGTCCAAAAGAAATAGGGCTGGAATGAAAAGAGAAAACTCTAATGAACATGAAAACTCTACCTGTGTTAAATGCTAAATTTGAGGGTTCAGACCAGACCTGAGAAAAGCATAAGAACATTACTCCAAGGTAAAGAAGTAGATTGAAACCAATCTGTATGTTATTTCTGTATTTTCTCAAATATTATTCATCTATCATGGGGATAACAATAGTTTCTGTACTATTCACAAAGTCTCTACATAATTCCAAATATATCATGCATTGGCACCTGGTTGAAGAACATTGTAGAGTTCTTGTCTGTAGTGTGGGAAAGGAGATGGGACTTCAGGATTACAAAATGTGCTCCTCAGTCTAATGGAAAGGAAGGAACCAGATTCACTGCTCAGATGAAAGAGGCGTGGGGTGAAATCGCACATAAGGATGGAATCTTGCAGGCTCAAGTATTTCCTCCTATTAGATGATCCCAAGACTGAAACAAAAGGCAGAACACTGTTCATGTATGGACTGCAACTAATTATGGTCTTTCCTTCCCTTGTGGGTAACATAAATATGGGAATCAGGCTTGGTTAGTTGTATCATTACATAGGTTGAGTACCAATGCTCTATAAAGACACAGAGGGGAGTAAAGCATAAAGTAAGGGAACAAACCTTCAAAGAAAGACCTTGGCTCATGACCTTCTTCAACAAAGACAACCTCTGGATTCCAAGAAAGGCCAGATTCAGCAGGTGGGGAGTTTTTCAATGAGGCGGCAATGTTTTGACCAATCTCCTTAATAATGGGCAGAGCTTTTCTCCCAAACCAAACATAGACAGTGTTTTTGGTGAGATGAAATAACAGGAAGACACCACGGCTCCGAAGTTGTCCAATGGTACAATCAACCTCCACCAGAAGAGATTCTTCTTCTCCATTTCCTTGTACTATGAAAAGGCGTCTTTCTTCTGAAAAAAAAAACATGGTTTCCATTTAGTACTCTAAATCAAGATGTTGGTTCTCCTTGAAAGAGCAAGTCAATGAAAGGAATGAGCATACTAGCATCACTTGGTTCCTCTTCTTCCCGAAGCCCCTTGTATATAACCATTCTTCCATCAAAGAGGCGAATGAATGCAAGTGGTTCTTTGCCCTGGACAACTCTCACATGCGGTCCTTGCTCCAGATCAAGCTCAACTGCAAATGTCCAAAGAATGACCACATTTAGGATTAGCCCTTAGCAATAGAGATTTGATTAACATACAACATTGCAGACACTCCAAGTGTCAATTCCCCTCCCATGTCAAAGCATGTATAGGAACACAGTCTGACTTTCACATACAACAGCCAATGCACAGAAGAATTGACTCACCTGTTTTCAGAGCAGAGTGTCCCCTGGTGAGCAATGAACAATTCCGTCCTTGCCAAAACCAATATGCAACACGATCACGTCCAGTTGTGGCATGGCGAGATGAGCCCCCTTCTAGGCTCCTCCCTGGTTTGAAGTAGCAGCAAGAACCAGATGTAATTTGTCTGATTTCTCCAAAAATATAATCAACATTCTGAAGGAGAAGTAATCTCACCTATCTGAATGACTCGGTAGTTCCATCGAATTATGTATGCATCTCCCATGTGGAATTGCCCCTTTGATTCTGGATGCATCTTTAGAGTCACACTCTCTAGGACATGATACATCTCTAAAGACAGTGTCTCCACTTGCTGCCTCTGACGGGGCTGAAAGATGGGGGACAACACTTAAGATGCACTGAATGTTTTGAGGATTGCCAAAAACCATAAGGGTTTAAAGTGTTCTGAGGTAAAAGAGGGCAACAACGCTGCAAGCAGTAGAACTCACCTCCTCCATTTCCAGTCCCAAGATCTTATTCAGCTGAGCATCAGGGTGGAATGGCTCATCCTTGAGCATTTGAGATACATCACATGGTTTCAAATCAAGGGCTGGCTCACCATTACACTAAAACATGAGGAATACATCATAGTGAACCTCCCAACTTGTAGCATTAACTTTGAAAAAATGTCATCCTTCAAATAAAAGTCTCCCTTACCATTTGCTCATTGGAAGGAGTACTGTCATCTCGTCTGAAATGAATTAGCTGCGAGGGATCAGACCAGTTGAGGAACTTTTCACGAAACAGGAGGGGTTCCATGTCTTGATTGATTTTGACATGTATGGTCCAAGACGGTCGCTCAGAAGATTCTTCTGGATGCATGACTACTCCAGAGCTGGGATTTAGTGGATTCACATCACAGCCTTCATAGGAATAGCCTCGCTTCCACACTTCAAGAATCACATCAGCAGCAGAGTTACGTATTTTCCAGGGAACTTTCTTTCCTAGCCATAAGTACAGCTCACTCCCAAAATCAAAGAGCAGGGCCTGCAAAAACAGGAGAACATGTTACATAGTAAAAACATCCTGAAAGTTTATTTACAGGCTAATGTTTACATGACATAAACCTACTTTTGTGTCTTGGAGGATCTCCACTTTTGGAACATGACCACATGCAGAGGGTATTGGTTCCAGTCTACCTTCCTCCTCCACACTATAAATTCTATTTGTATGTATCACAGCCATTTCATATTTGGCATCTTCCTCTGGATCTTCAGCCTCTGTGGACCCAATAAGAACATGTTAGACATTTCCAGATTTATCTCATATCTTATTTGATGACCTCTACAATTAACAAAGGAAACTAACGTGATATGGGATGTGGACTGTGAGGATTATCAGGTTCCAGGGCACGATAGAACTCATCAAGCTGGCGTCCTTGACCTCCTTTCTCCATGTCAATCTTGATGAACTTAGCATTGACACCCAAACCATACTCTCGCTTATCCACAATTGTACTAGCCACCTTCAATGCTTTGGTTCTCTCTATCACATTTGAATACTTCCCCAAAAGGAGAAAAACCTATAATGGAAAAATGAACCCCACTGCCACAACTGATAACTGCACTCTCCTCAGTCTAGGATCCTAAATTCTGACCTTTTCAGAAGAGACAAGGATATAACAGTCGCCTTGATTCAAGGACTGAAGACACGGTTTCACCAGACGAGTCTGGACGAATTTTCGTCCCTTCACCTGCAGTAGCAGTACAGAAGAGTCTGGACAAGGCCAGTGTGGACTGTTATTGTTTTTACCATCTGTTGTCTTCCTCAGTCGAACAGAAGCAAAGTTCTCCTTTGATGCCAGCCCAGCGAGAGCCGATGCAGCAAAATTTGTCTGCACAACACCTGTGACTATGACAAACAAAAAGTGGTGTTATGCAAGAAAGCACTCATTGAAGAATGACAACAGTGGACATGAGACATACCTTTTGATGTGACTGTGATAGCTGAAGTTGATGAAACAGAAGTTACACCAGAAGCAGGTGTCACAACATGTTTCTCCTCAGAAGCACTCTTAGTTTCAAAATACTCTGACTGAATGTCACTACGAGCTGCCAAACTACGAAGAGGATTCCTGGGACCAGCAGATCTGCGCTGAACTCGCAAAACCCGTTTCTCCACTCTCCTGCAGAATTCATCAAGAACATTATAAACATCCCTAAGTAAAGAATACATTGTCTGGATCATTCATTGATTCTTACAGGCAGGAGATACTTTGGAAGTCTCTTTCAGAAAATTGCACCATGGGGTCTGGTGCAAAATGACCGGTATTCCCTTCTTGACTCACTGAGCGGAAAAATCCTCTGAAAAATTCATCCTCAAGTTCAGGAACATGTACAGCCACTTGCTCCTCCTTAGCATCAGCACCTTGAAAAAATAAACAATTGGCTTCCTAAAGCAAAAACAGTCACGTTTATAGGAAAATGGTTTGGTATATTTTCACCATACGTTTTGTCTCAGTCTCTGCCATTGTCACACTAGATCCAAATGGCCCTTGCTTGGTCAGCCCTGATGCAAAGAGATACATTTTTCATTATCAATTTTCCTCAGAAACACACTAAAAACTTTTTCATGAAGTATTTAAATGCCTCACCTTTGTCCAATTTGAATGGCAATGCTATTGGCTCAGGAGGTTTGACTTTTGCCACATTTTCTTTGGAAGATAAGGGCAATTCATCAAGATCCTTTCCCATTTTTCCTGCCACTGTAAACTTCACTGCATCTTTTTCATCCACCCTATCTTTCCATTGTTCTGATGCTGACTGTAGACTCTGGAGGATCTCACTTATTCCAATGCTGCGGGGACGCTGAGCACGTCCCCTCTGAATCCATTAACAGAAGTGAATTCAATCATGAAAGTACAGCTGAATTGATTTGAGCATAAGCAATTGAAACCACCTTACCTTGAGCCTGGTGTTCCCTGGCTTCTTCTCAGGAGGCTCCTCTGGGTGGACAAATGCAGATTTTGGCCTGGCATCTCCCTTGGCAGTTATCACAGTCTCATCTACAACCTTTGCCCGCCAATGTGTTTCGCCATATGTCTTGAGATTCAGCAGCCTTCAAAGATAAGTTCAAATGTAAAATAATGATGATTAGGTTTGATATGTCATAGATACAAGTACTATATTTAAAAAATATACAAGGTAACATTGAGTACATGGTAAGCATGAATTTTGGATGTCCTGATTTCTGGAAAATAAAAATCCCATTACATTAAGCTGGCCACACATTGGTGAAACATTCTCATGAAGCATTTATCATACATGTAAGATACATGCTTCACTGGATGGAGCATATAGCAACAGTGAGGTGCCATACACTGGTTTTAAAAAAATGCCTCTAATTCATGTTTTGTCCAATGAAGCATGTGTGATATATGCTTCACGAGAATATTTCACCAGTATGCAACCAGCCATGGTAAATCATTGTGATGTGCTCCATAAGCACTCCATGATGTGAGAACCAGAGAATTTTCTGCCAGTAGCATAATTTATGCAACATAGAATGTACTCTTTAAAAAAATACCTTTTTCTTTTTCCAATGGGCAACTTCAATATTTTAGCATGGCCATTGCAATCATTCATCACCAGCAAGTAAAAGTTCAGAAACTTTTCAATGGCTAAAAGGACATCATTCCAACAAAGAGGAAGTTATGAAATCACTTTGTCTCTCCTTTTGAGCATGGGTCCATGTATCAATGACTATATATCACTGGCAACCCATGCAAATCATGCCAATTTCCCATAAATCTTTTCATTTTCAAATCATGCATAACTCCTCACCAGGCCTTGATGCCATTTTAAGTGTTTTATATCTGCAAGAATCGGGGAGTTTTATCTTGTGTGGACACCCTATGCAAGCATTCTCACTATCAAAGGTTGTATAGTCAATAAACACACACGTGGAATATAACCACAAAGTGTTCTGTAGAGAGGAGGAAAAGGCTACTACCTTTCCTGTATTCCCTTTGACACATCTTTGGGTGATTCCACTGATGAAGGATGGGAAACAGAAGAAGAGGGAGAAGGAGAGCGGCTGATGCTCTTCTCTTGCTTAGATGCTTGACTTCTTTCTGATTCTGGTGGTGCCAGACTTGATCCCAGTAAATGCTTTGGAATTCCATCAATGTGATCAGTCTCACTGCTGCATCGAGACAACATGGAAGCACAACAAATGAATGAGTAATTGAATAGTCACACCTTCAACTGAAACAATTACAGTTCCACCGAAAAAAGGGACAAAAAAAAGCCGCATAAAGATAACAGGTCTGGAATGACAACACTAAGAGGTACTCCATGGAATCAAGTAAAAAACATGGGATACATGACTCACTTGGACAACAAGTTATCTTGGTCGGTGGCATCACAGCTGAGTTCGGGCTCTTGAAGGGATGCAGAGGAAGCTGATAAGGAGGAAGACGATGTCTTTTCTTCTTCGCTCTTCATGTTCTCATCCTCTGAGGAAGAGTAAGAATGAGGTATAAATGCGAGGGAAAGGGAAAGCAACGGAGCATGAAGTAACGCTGAAGCATCAGCCAGAACAGGGAACCACACAACACGTAACACAGCTGTGCTACTTTTGCAGGTGGGGACAAAATAAGCGAGTGTGGCACCAGAGAAATCCTTCCTTCTGATAAGCAGTCATTCTGTACATGAATGACTCACACGGGCCAGTGATAACCCACTGGTGACCCGGCAGCATTTTCCCTTGGGCAATCCTGCGTAACGCTGATAAAATAATACACGCTATTTGCTTCTTCACCGTGGAAAAAAAAAAGCTTTGGACTTTCAAAAATCATGCGCATAGAAATGATATTCTATTAGGCTTACTTCTAAGCACCGTACCCGATACCTATAACAATAATATATCGAGAAACAACGAAACCCGAACGCTTGCATCCTGCCTCGAACGCGTAGGCTACACTAACAGCCATCACTCGGCGTGTCTACTGATGATGAATAGTCACCTCGCCCTAGTTTCATCGTCTAGTCGAAGATGTCGTTGTCCTCGAACGCGAGTGGAGGCACGATCGGGAAATCCGAGTGCTATCAGATATTGAATAACAATCGTTTCTCAGTAGGATCCCTCCAAGAAAATAACCTACTGACCCCACAGACGTACGTGTTCACGCATACTTGGGGCAAAGAGCATGAGCATGGCAACTGCTGCAGAGCACTCCACCGATTCAAATCTGAGCTCTAAAAATCAAGGGTGGATTTTTTAACAGAGAACTATCCGATAATGCAGCTTTATTATAGGGAAAATACATTATATTTCCTGGAAATAAACCAACATTATCGGATAGTTCTCTGTTCAAAAATCCACCCCAAAAGCTTGTTCTTTTTAAACATGCAAATCCACAGCCATCAAATTAAGTTTTACATAATTTGCCATGCAGGGGTGGAGCTGTTCCATGACGGTGGACTCCGCACTGCTTGACTTTCGAGTTAATGAGGGCAGATCGAGCAGTAATAACTCTCGTTAATGCAATCGCTTCGGGCCAATCCCCACTCGTGTTTTCCGCTAACCGATGATTGATGGGAGTCTGTGAGGCTACACAGGGTAGGCAAGAAAGTCATTGCATGACCAATGATCCAACACAGCACAGTGACCTTGTGTCCTTATGTTGAGCGTGCAATGACTTTCTACCCACCCTATATACTGTATGAAAGAACTACCAGTACGTGGGAAGAGAAGAAGGCACCGAAGTCTGTTTGAGGAGACGCCCACAAGTCGAGGATCTCTTTCTTTTGCCCATTCGACGGGGAGTAAAATCAACATGAATTACATCGCCATGGTTATCTCAAGAGAACCGATACGATACGATCGCAGCTCCCTATCGCGTCACACGGGATATCCCTCACAAAGAATAGGAGAAAAAAAAGAGCCATCTGCCACAAATAGAAATGGGATGCTGGCAGTCATATTAGGCATTGGTGGAAGCAGCTTAAGCGGTGAAACCTGCAAGGCTAAGGTGCAGATTTGCCAGTCATCACCAGAGGATTTCCAACGCGACAAAATGTGAAAATTACAATGCCTTACCGCGTGAGAGGACTTCGTATCTGAAGTTTGAAGGAACGTTTGAGGCACTATCGTTACACCCCACTGCGACACACAACCGCAGTAAGTAACTTCATCGAACCACTAGTTTCTTTATAGCCATCCTAATGAATTCTCAACCTTCGACGATCTCCAAGCCAGTCACTGGCCTCAAGAGCAGGGGGAGAGGGGGGAACAAACCTCACTAAAGGCGAAACGGATACGTTGGAATTTTACGTTATACGAATGGCCTCCAAGGGTAAGTACATTCCACTTTTTATTCGATTTTTAATGTTACGAGCAACTCACTGCTGCACCCAGCAGCGTAGCCGGGAATTCTTTCATGAAGTAAGCTTTGTTTCTGGTTAATTAACAGATGGAGCGCAGCAGCCCTGAGGGGGAATGCGGCTACGGCAGTTATCCAAGGCCACGTGCGGGGGAGGAGTGTTCTGCCGCCCCAGCCCATTCTCTCGCTTTTCTTGGAAACATTACATTCAATTATCTGCAAACCCCCCTGACCGCACCGGAACCCCAACAGCTTTCCCATTATTCTTACGCAACCATATTTAGATTTCAGGGGTGGTCCAGATGGCTGCTGCGCCCTCCCCTCTCTCTTTCCCCGGACCATGCAAGATGGGAAGAGGCGTTGACGAGCGAGAGGGGCGAGGTGCTTCCAAGACGCTAAATTCTTGGGATTATAGCCAGAGCAAAGCAAAAAATTCTCCCTATATTTCTGAGAGACGGGATTGTGAACCGCATGAACCCTTGAAACTCCCATCCCAGATGCGCCAATGCTCTGTACCATAGCAGAAGAAAGAAATATCACTCCCGGCAATGCCAAGCAACGCTTCATCTTAATTCCTGGCCTAATCCTACTCACATTCCATGAAAATCCACCTCGCACACGTTGTTCGAGAAAAGTCATTCATCCCTGTCTCGAAGTCCTATTCCTGTACATTTAATGCACTTCTAATCCTCTCCAAAATAGAGACTCCTCTCTTTCCAAAGATATCTTAACCCTACTCCTGCTGCATTGATTATAACGTCGTCAGTCTAGCACCCCGGAATATTCCGGGACCTGCAGTACTATGGTTAAGTTCCACTATCTCAGAGAAAAAAAAATTATGTTTCAGCGCAAGTGGGAAAGAATTCCCACCACGCTCAATCTCAGTCTGATTCTTCTCCTCAGGATTCTGCACCTCCTCTAACGTTTGATAGTATGCGATGATTGCTCAAGCTGGGGTGACAAAAAAATATCTCACGTGTACTGACTTCCGTCAGATGAAAAAAGAGATCAAGGGCATTCCTTGGTATTGTCACTAGTTTTTGTTATTTGAACTGAATTCAGACAAGAGCAGAGACCCTTATTTGGGGAGCAGTAAGAGAGACTTCACCTTGGTCTGCTAAGACAGATATGGAGCCATTTGAACTCCAGCGCTTGGGAATGCCACTAGCTGCTTGTTGCATGGCCTGCCTGACTTCTGTCACAGACATAGAGCCTAAAATAATAAATACAAGAGATTGATAAACATACATGAGAAAATTGACAGGCAAAATAAGCAAAACAAAATTTGTATCATTCAAGGAAAATGTATTGAATTTTATGAATACATGCAAGAGTATGAGTAGATGAGTTCTCAGAACCACCCTCTAAGTGAGACTTATCATGAGGGAGAGCTTCACCTGTCAGACAAGCTTCTGGAGGCTTGACGAAAGATGCCAGCAAAGGGTTGTTACTTGCATCAATGCCCATTTCCTCCAGATTTAGAGGGAGGGATTTGAATCTTGAAGAGATGCGTCTGCGGTTTTTTCTCAAATACTTCTGTTTGGGAGAAGGGCAAGGTGGTTGGTTTTCCTCACATTTTTCTTGCTCTGAGACTGATGAGAAGATCTTGATTTTATCTTGCACCAAAGAACCCCGGCATCCATTCAGAGCTGCAACAGAGTACCAGATATACTCCTCTGTACAGTTTCACATTGACAAGCTATCAAATCAAATTCACAAGCCCAATCTACTCACACTCAGTAATGGTGGTGCTAGAAGATTTCTTGTCAAGCATTTCAACCCTGTGGTCCAAGAAAGACTTGGAACGCTTCTTTGGACGAGGAGGAAGGCTTGTCCCAGAAGAATTCTCTATACTAATAGCTGTATGTTGCTGGAACAGCTTCTTCTTCTCTTCTACTATACTGATTTTCTTATATGTAGTGGAACAATCTGAAATGCAAATGCAAAGTTATAATTATCCACCTTTCTGCATGTTCATGGCTTAGCTAGCAAGAGGAAAACCTGGCTTAGGAAAATGTGATTATATTGCATACCATTTGATACAGAAGGAGGAAGATCTTGCTGGACAGGTATATCTGATTCTTTATCATGTTTCTGAACAATATTGGCTCTGGCTTCTCTCACTTCGGCAGATGTAACAGGAAGAGTTTTTCGTCTGACACATCGTTTCTTGCTATCAGGTGTGTTGTTCTTGCTCAATTGCATGAATAATCTTGCTTTTGATGCCACATTCAAATGCACTGGATCAAATTCATCAGAACTGGCAGGCTCAGCCTCCAGTTTTGGGCTGCAATGAAAAAAAAAATTGTCAGTAGTTCCTCTTTCCCATGTACTCCTAGATGTCTATCATGACCTAAGGTCTTGATAGACAACACACCATATTTTCACTTGTGGCACTAGTATCTTTCAATTGATTGTCCAATTCTATGACATCCAGGAAAGGATACCACATTGACTGGACACCTAGAACTACTCATTATAGGCTGAGAGGAAATGCCCAGTGCTCCTATGCTACCCTCTTGCAGATTTAAATCCCAATCCTGAGTTTTCCCTCCAAAATAAACAGGTGTCAAGTGATGACAGGAACATTCATATCAGTAGGCATAGATTGATGTCTCTAAAAAAAACATCAAGGAAAACAATGTGAATCAAGAGCACAACTCCACATCCATACAACAATTGAAGCAGTAGTGCCACACTAAATTCAAAAAATTCAATTAAATCACACAATTTGAATTCAAATATATAATCATCATTGACAAGTGGGATGTCCTGTAACCAATGAAGGTGATACTCATGGTCAGTCTTTAAATGGCAAAATAATAAATAAAAAAAGGTTGTAAATTTTAATACTTAAACCATGTTGCAAATAAGAGTTGAAGGCACAATGCACATCATGAACATGGGTCTATTTGGAAAAATTTAACCAAGTAGTACAGCAGCTTATCAACCTATTTCATCAGAATATTTGTATACATTGAGAAGGAAGCCTTATCATGCATGCTATTTTCATATTAACACCAAATACCATGATGCAACACAAGGCTGTAGGAAGATGCATACCATGATGCATGGAAGTATTACCAGCAAGAGGATGGCAATGCATCATCCTAATTCTTCGAAATTTTTTCACAGGTGAGAACTTATAATTTACCTACTTACCACATTTAATGCTTAAATTTGAATGGTACTGAAGGTCTATATGTACCACAATAGTTACCAACAATTTTGTGTGCAATAAATTACTAGATGATTCTCCTAAAGGCTTTCTACAAGAAAACAATGAGTTTAGTAGCCATCATTTTTTCAATGCCAGTAGATAGAGCTGAAATAGTTGGATTATTCATTCTCAGACTGTTATATCATGATAGTCTATGATACATAATGCCATTAAATCTGTTACCAAAGAAAAAGATGTCCATGCAGGAGAGACAAGAGAAAGTGGAGAACTACAAACATTAAATTGCAAACACATCAGAGGTTGAAAGAGGCAAGAACAATTCAAGGAAGGCAAATGAGAAAGGGAAGACTTCAAATGCATGCATGAGACACCATGACCATGCACTTCCAAAAGAAAGACAACTGTGACAGCAAGAAACCCCAGGTCTCACCTCATGTCTGGAAAGCAGGAGAAAGGATAGTTCAGTTGAGAGTTGAAGAGGAGAAGGTTGTTAACACCATACTGCAGTAAATGGATATTCGAGACAATAAAGACTTTATCAGTTACAAAGCATCAGCTCATGAAAGATAAACACATGGAGGTGACATGAGAAGTCAGTTGGACATTACCAGCAATTATACTTAGTCTGATTCCAAGCTTAGTATATCAAAAGCAAGAAAAGATCAGATGGACAAATAGGAAGAAATTATCATTGTACAGGTCTTGTCTTTATGACAAATTTTTTTTAACTTTTCAAGTGTTAGAAAGATGGAACAAATTTAGAGGGCAAAATCCAAGTGGGTCTTTTCAGAGGGATGAAGACAATACCTGCCTGAACTTTCTTCATATTAGTAAAAGAAAAAAAAAAACTGGTACTATATAGAGAATAGAAAGGACTACAATAATCACAAAACTATTGATTTCCAGGAAAATTTCATAATGATGCCACCACAGGTACAGAATGACTCAGTTGAGTTGAAAATGAGTCTACTCCCCAAATCACAAGAAAATCCCACAAAAGAAAGGTAAGAAAGGAGCCAGACAAACAACAAACACTTAGGGCATCAGACAGCTTGCTGATCACAAAACTATCCATCCCTAGTAAAACCAGAGAGGTTCATCTGCTTTTCACAGGTTAGTCTGATATGGCTAGAAGATATTGTCAGTGCTTCTCAAACCTTTCATGAAGTTTAAAAGTAGAACACTTCATATTAGTTCATAGTTCTGGCAATCCTAAAACTCCATAATGATTCTGATAATTCAGTGGTTCTCTGGCAAAAGGGATCCACAAACTCCACAAACACAAATGAAAAAAAAGTTGCAAACCACTGCTGCATGGTACAATGCAGGTTTTCTTTATACATTATGTAAGGTAATACATGGTAGTAATGGCTAGCATGATGCCACTATTGCTGATGGGTTGACAGGCTCTCCAGACTTGGTTTTCTCCCAGATTTCATGATGTCAGATCTGACTCAAAAGGAGAGACCCTCATTCCAATATGAAAGCTCATTTCCCATACCTAGAGATCAATTCCTAATGGCATGAAAGACAGCCTGGGTCAGACAGCCAGATGGACAGACATGCACACAGGTTGACTGCTGTAGTATCATCCAGGGAATGAAAGCAGGTGTGGCATGTATGGGCTGCCAAAAGTCATTTACATAGGTCAATAGGTCAACAAAGGATGCCACTTCTTTCTTCTGTGTGACACATACCCATATTTAAGACCCTTTTAAGGAATGCTGATGGGAATCTTTCTTTCTTGCTCCAACATCGTCAACTTTTCACACTAGGCAATAGATGAAGGTCATTATGTCTGTCATACTAGGTCAAGGGAAAGATCCAACTGTGATTTCCTTGAATGAACTATACAATTAGTTTCAGGTTTGAAGTCCTCAGACACCTCCACATAAAGGTGTCACATGAAACACACATGAAGACTGCCTGCCTTTGGGAAATAAATCCAGGATTTTCCTCATATATCACCCATTCTCAGCAAGGTAGTACGAATAGCCAGAGGTTATTGTGGTTGCAACATCACCAAGAGTATGCACCTTAGACTGCTTCTGCCACATGAGGCATCTTAGCACATTTGGTCACAGATTGTGTTACTAGTAAAGCCCTATAGCCTGGCCATTTTTTTGAAAAACCAATGTTTAAAAAATGAATGTTGAGGGAAACTCTATTTCAAAATGTTACATGCTCCAAGATCTTCAGAAATCTAGTTTCAAGAAATCTAATGATGACACATCATTTCAGAGAAATTTGATTCCAGGTGACTGCAAAAGCTTTCTCAAGTCAGAAATTTCCAATCATGAGTATGAAAGTGTTAAATTATTCAAATGCCTTTATGCCTTTGGTGCTCACATGAAATTACTTCCTATATGCATAATTAAAAACCAGATTAGAGCATCAGCAATTTGGCAAATCTCCAGCAAAATAAAGAAACTCCCATATTTCTCACAAGAAATAAAGGAAATCTGGACAGTGGGAGGAGCTAATCAGTTTCCCCTAGTCACAGGAATAACTGCCTTGGCAAGACAAGAGCTGAATCAATTGGGCATCAATTGTCCCATGTCAATTTTACAATGACTGATAACTGGTATAGACAGCAGATGCAAAGATGTGAAACAGGTCTACAGGTGTATGCATTTTTTTAAACTGGGAAGATGCTTAAGTTGGGAGATGGCAGCTCTGAACAAACTATCTTTGCTGCTATCTTTCTTTGTTTGAAGTATTTAGGGCTATTTGGGGCAAGATTATCAAAAGTCTGTAAAATTTATGGGATTACACATATGTCATTCCCATAATAGATACTGCTCAGCATTAGAGGCCTCACCTTGATGAAGTAGCTACATTGGCTGAAGTGCAAGGTGGAATATCTTTGCTTGGAGTAGATGCTGAGGTAGTGGGAGCTTCCTGTTCACTTGACGTACAATGATGCCATGTAACCTCTACATTTTCAGACTTGGTTTTGGCAGAAATCTTCAAGTGGTCAGGGGCAGCCATAATGACAGGTGAAGAAAAGACAACTTTGCTTAGATGAGGGTTCTCAATATGTTGAGGGGCTCTGGAATCCAATTCTTCTGCAATCTCTGATGATTTCCCACCTGCACTTCCAGACTTGCCTCTGGCAGATGTCTTCGTGTGGTTGGAAGTAGCCAGGACAATGGGTGATGAGAAGACAAGTTTACTTGAAGAACTTTCTACATCTTTGAGATTCAATTCTTCAGTACTCTCTGATGATGAAAATGATGATGATGAAATGGAATCTTTTTTAACATTTGTATCTGAGCTCCTACATGGGTAAGGATTCTTCAAAATGGATTTGAGTTCTTGGACATCAGATCCATCAGAACCAGTATCTTTTACTTTCAGAATTGACTTTAGTTTCTCATCAGCATCATCTGCATCATAACTCTTCTTTTTCAGGATTGGTTTTACTGGTTCATGTATGACATGGTGTGTGTCATCACCCTTCTTCAAAATGGGCTTGGGCTCAATGCTGCTAGACTTGCTCAAATCAGGTCCAGAGAAAGACTTCTTTTTCAGAATGCTCTGCAATAGGCCAGAATTGTTTGCTTCCCCAAATTCAACCTCACTTGATTTCTTCAAAATAGAATGTAGACTTTCTGAAGAGATTAAAGCATCTCCACTGGATCCTCTCCGCTTTGTGTTCTGCTTGACTTCATCTTTCTTCACATCACATACATCAGAAAAGGATCCACCTGAGTCATCTGGTCTAACTGGTTTTTTGAGGATACCATGAATGCTTTGGATTGGTATCACATATGCATCTTGTAATGAAAGATCTTTGGACAATTCAGGCACCTCTTTAACTGTGTGGTCCATGATGGGTCCCTTAGCATGAACAGGCCTGGGAATTTTGGACATAAAAGGCCTACTTCGAGCAGAAGTTATCGAATGAGAATGACTCATATCCCCTACTCCACGAAGTCTGATATTGGATTGAAGATATGATCCTTGGTTGGGAGACCCAGTAGCAAAAGGAGGGTGGTTCCTAGATTGAACTTCTGCACTCCTCAAGAAAAGTGGCTTCAAGGCATCATTCTGTTCCATGTAATTGCCTCTTCCTGGAATTTTGACATCAGGTAAGAGGACTGATGGGATGTCAGGTTTTCTTAAAGGCACAGATCTAAGGGAAATTTCTTTTTGAGCGTCTCTGTCAGCAACACTGGTATCAAAAATGGCAATGGAGTCCTGAATTCTTCTCACGATACTCGGTGTTTGAAGGGAACTCCTGATTTCTCCATGGTCCTCATCGGAACCTACAGTAACAAGGTAGAAATGATAGGCAATTAATGCAATAGGATAAATTTAGGTGGCCTAAATGTCTTGATCCTATAAGACCCTAATTTTTTATCTGCCTGTTGCTGACAGAGATAATCAAATCCCAACATGGATTGAGTCAGCTAGAAAGACTAAACACATCCCTTTGAAAAACATTAACCCTCCTTTTCTGAGTCTCAGGTGATCACATGAATGATGCTTGAAGTAGCAACTATTAACATAAAATTCATATGAAACTCCAGGTGCAACAAGATTCCCTGTAGAATTCCTGTAACCTTCAAATAAACAATTTACCTTAGTGTTGAATATAAGTAAGTTTTTGTCAAATGCCTGGAAAGTACAACCTAGCAAAACCTCATTGTTGATGTTTTCAACAGAACGATGGGTTAAGTTGAAAACTTAACTGTTCATACAATAATTGATATTATCACTTCTGAATAACAAAATATTTAAAATAAAATGATCCACCCTTCTTTCCTCACAAGGAGAGGGATAGAACTGAGATGCATGCAAAGCTCAATTTGGTCCTTCAAAAAAATGGAAATACTCCAATGGGAGAATCAATGTAAGCCCATGCCTTTCAAGGTTCTGCCATGAGCCTTATATTAAGAGTACTATCTGTATTTATCTGAGCTATCTTTCTCTTGGGAAGTTCATGGGTTTCAGATTGAATTTATAAATATATATATCTCCGGTGGAAATGGAGATGAGAGATCTTCATAAGATCTCTTCCAGTATTAGGATCTACTCTAACGACACAGCCATATAAAAATATTAAGCTTGTTCCATTAATAGGTGGCTGTGCTGCTCATTAAATTCCAGCACAGCAGACAGCCACTCAGATTACATTTAGTCAACACATTGACTGCCACATCATCCACATGTGGCTGACAGAGCCATAGCGTGTTGCAAACCCTGGCAGTCAATGTGTTAAGCTCCTCAACTTAGGCCTACATATTAAAAAATATGACTAAGATTCATTTTGTGATTCAGAAAATTGAATATATACATTGCGAAATAATGATCTTCATTTATCTTCAAGAGGCTGATATGTCAACTACATCTGCAAAGTTTATCTAGGTCTACAGTGCCGTTCAGTTGAATAAAACACCATATCACTCATAGTCTTATCAGACACAGACTTCAGTCTGATAAGTCTTCATTTGACAAGGTATATATGCCCCCCAATCTGTGCGTGAACATTAGGCCTAGATCTATTGTATCCAATGGTGGCGGTTACAGGAGCTAATCCTCCGTTAGTTTTGAGTCAAGTGCAATTTAGTCAAACTTACCAGACACTAACCCAGGCCTATTCTCAATCAATCCGAATTCACTGTAACATTAGGCTTCACGCTACACTGAACAATGCCTGTAGCTAACGCCGGGCCAGGTTTGAGGCCTTGCCCTCTGTTTCAAAAAACAAAGTTAAGGCCATAATATATAAGCCCAACATGTCCCAAAGCCTAATGCAAGGCCTACTAGACTGGCGTCACTCTCTATTGACCACACAAAGGAATCGCAAATAGGCTTGGACCGCGATTACAAACTATTACACGACGAACCACAAGAGACTATTGGGTTCATTTTCTTTCCACTAACAGGAGAACTGATTTAAGCAAGTTAATTATTCTCTCCTTCCAAAAAGGTCACTCATTCATCTTGAGGGGGGAGAGCAGCGGGGGTCAGAGTGGCTCGGTCAACGAGCTCGGGGCACAGATTCACAAAGCCCTCGTTGCTCTACCATCAACCGAGTACGTCACTAAGCTGCACTTAGCCGAGAGATTCGTTAATCCAAGCCCTACATTTCAAGGAAGGGACTCAGATTCGAAATCAGCCCACCCCATGGTGCGGCGCAGGCCCCCTAGCGTTTTTCGGGACGGAGATCCCCGTCACCAGCCACACACCACGTCCACCAGTGGCAACTTTCAGACCCTCGAAGGCGAAGGTCCCTCCCAGGTAGCGTGAGCCCGCAATAGCCATTACGGCCAAATCGGGTCTCCCCCATTTAGATGAGGGTTCTCACCACCCAGCTGAGATTTCACTTCACATGTCCCTTTCAAGCTGTTCGCGCTGTTAGCCGGTTATAGTGTCCCGTATGTCTGGAACAATTAGTAGCGTATTCTCTTCATATTTCAAATAAGTTGAAGAAATGGCACTATCTAAGGATGAGCTAATAGAGATTGTGTCAGTGCATCTGGAGAACCAACAGCCACCGCCAAGTACCCGACGAATCGAACATCTGTACAAGACGATATTTGTAAACATGTGCCTATGGTTCTAGACTGATGACCCTGTACGAGTCTTTTTTTTCCCCTCCTCATCCACACAATAAATCCTTCATTGGATAGGACATAATAGCCTTATAATGCAGCAGACATCGTCCAATCAGGTCGATCTCAACGCCGATGATTCAGCCACTCGTCTCACCTTAGTCACTGTGTTTTCCAGACTCCTGACCTTCAAAACCGTGACTTGGTTTCCCAAAACCAGTTGGTAATGATTTTTCATTCCCTTCCCCGTAATAAAGATGGTATTCGGTTTTGTGGCTTGCCCTCGATCCGGCGGAATCGTGCTGGAAAAGTGGGCATTGCGGATAAATCTCGATTCCCCCCAGTCGCGATTCCTGCCACTGAAATCTAAAAGCATATCGTCTTTTCCTGGCGAATTTATTACCTCGGTCTCCATGCACTTCATTCTAAAGCGCTCCTGCAGAATTCATCAAGAACATTATAAACATCCCCAGGTAAAGAATACATTGTCTGGATCATTCATTGATTCTTACAGGCAGGAGATACTTTGGAAGTCTCTTTCAGAAAATTGCACCATGGGG